CCAAACTGTGCACTGTGCCATGTAGATATGAAGATAAAAATCTTAGGAGGAAACAGGAGAGAATTATCAAGAAAATCTGCACGTGCATCACCCTTACGTCATTGGCTATTTCCTAAACTAGACATGCACAGAATGAGATCCCAAGAAACCCAGAAGAAATATAGAGTTGGGAAGGATTAAAACTACGCCAAGAGTTTAGCAGTATCCTGATACTAAGTAGACAGAGATTGGGTTGAGCCTTGTTGAGGTGAGAGATTGTTTACAAATATCCTTCCTTGGCTTCTACTGACCCCCAGAAGGGCCATCTTATGTAATAAATACCAGGCTCTGGGAGTAAGGACAGCAGTGAATAAAACTGCTTTTTAAAGGCCTGAAACCAAGTCTTAAAAGGAGTGAGGTATTTGCTTTTACACAGTTTACCTGCCCTAAGAAAACTTAACCTAACCCCTTTTGGGAGAAGATAATATTACCCAAAGCTTCTATAAATTTTTTACCCATGATATCTGGTGTTAAATCAGAAAATATAAGGGATACTGGAAAATTAGTAACAATATCTGAATACCAAAAGAAAAAGGAAATAGAAGCCAGGTGCTGAGGCTCACGCCTGTAATCCCAGCACTTTGGGAGGCCAAGGCAGGTGGATCATGAGGTCAGGAGTTCAAGACCAGCCTGACCAACATGGTGAAACCCCGTGTCTACTAAAAATACAAAAATTAGCTGAGCCTGGTGGCACACGACTGTAATCCCAGCTACTTAGTCAGATGACGCAGGAGAATTGTCTGAACCTGGGAGGCGGAGGTTGCAGTGAGCCAAGATCGTGCCACTGCACTCCAGACTGGGTGACAGAGTGGGACTTCATCACAAAAAAAAAAAAAAAAAAAGAAGAAGAAGAAGAAGAAAAAGGAAATAGAGCCCACACAGGTCAGGTATTGTTATTATCAGAGAGAGACTTTAAAATAACTTATTGTTTTTGGCTGAGCACAGTGGCACACACCTACAATCCCAGCACTTCGGGAGGCTGAGGCAGGCAGATCACTTAAGGTCTAGAGTTCAAGACCGGCCTGTCAACATGGCAAAACCTGTCTTGGTCAGGTGCAGTGGCTCCAGCCTGTGATCACAGCACTTTGGGAGGCCAAGGCAGCCAGATCACCTGAGGTTAGGAGTTCAAGACCAGACTGGCCAACATGGTAAAACCTCATCTCTACTAAAAATACAAACATTAGCTAGCATGGTGGCTGGGACCTGTAGTCCCAGCTACTTGGGAGGCTGAGGCAGGAGAATCGCTTGAACCTGGGAGGCAGAGGTTGCAGTGAGCCGAAATTGTGCCACTGCACTCCAGCCTGGGCGACAGAGCAAGACTCCATCTAAAAACAAACAAAAAACCTGTCTCTACTAAAAATAACAAAAATTAGTCAGATGTGGTAGCATTCATCTGTAGTCCCAGCTGCTCAGCAGGCTAAGGCAGGAGAATTGCTTGAACCTAGGAGGCAGAGGTGGTTGCAATGAGCCAAGATCATGCCACTGCACTCCACCCTTGGTGACAGAGTGAGACTGTCTCAAATACAAAACAACAACATCAAGAAAATCAGCAAAAAGGATGAATAGACAGTTTCAAGGAGAATGTAATCTATTAAAAAGAATATTTAGGCCGGGCATGGTGGCTCTCACCTGTAATCCCAGCACTTTGGAAGGCCAAGACAGGTGGATCGCTTGAGCTCAGGAGTTCAAGACCAGCCTGGCCAAAAAGTATTAAAAAAAATAGCTGGGCATGGGGGCACATGCCTGTTGTCCCAGCTACTCAGGAGGCTGAGCTAGGAGCATTGATTAAGCCCAGATCAAGGCTGCAGTGAGCCATGATTATGCTACTGCACTCCAGCCAGAACAAGATCCTATCTCAAAACAAAAACAAAAATGAAAAAAAACCAAGAATCTTTAACATGTTAGAACAACAATTAAAAAAAAAACCACAGATTCTAATGGACATTTAGAACTGAAAAATAACATCTGGAATTAAGAACTCCTCTAGTAGATTTAATAGATTAGATGTGAGAATATAGAATGAGAGAACTAGAAGAAAAAGTATTCAAACTTCTAATCAAATTAGCTTCCCAACATATCAGGATTATTCTTATTCATACCCATACTCATGCTAGTTTCCCTTTTCTTTGCTTGTCCTCAACTCAAAACTTATTATCCTTATTTTTTCCTTAAAAATGTATTTATTTGACAAAAATATATATATTTATGGTACAATATGTTGTTTTGAAACATGTATACATTATACAATGGCTATATTGACCTAATTAACATCTATTACTTCACATGCTTTTTTGTGATGGGAACACTTAAATTCTACTCTCTTTGCAATTTTCAAGAATTTACTATGTGGTTATTAACTATAGTTACCCTGTTGGACAATATAGCTTTTAACCTTATTCCTTCTAAGTGTAATTTTGTTGTCTTTTTATTCTACCCATTGTTTCAAGTCTCAATTCTACATATCCTATTGAAGGCTTACATACCTGATCTCAGTAGACAATATTAGGAAATTTTGAGGAGTGCTGGTCTTTGGAAGAGAGTTGCTTGGAAAGCCAACACAGAACACTGTTCATCATACATGAAGTGCAAAATGTATAGATAGATGGGTGACTGGCACCAAGTAAATTTAACAGCAAGCAGCTGAGGTTCTAATGATAGAATCTGGGTCCCAGGGAGAGAATTCTACTTTCCAGAAAATCAGGGAAGCAAAGCAGATCCCTATTTCCATATGAATTAAAATTAAGAAAATATGTTTTGAAACCATGGCAGGAAACAAAACCAAAGACCCCTAACCATAGCACAAAGTTAGTGATATTATCCACACACCAAAAATAGGGCCAAGCCTCACTTCCTGGAAGTGTGTTTTTGGCAGAGTTGTTGAGGTGGGGAAGCAGCAACACTGAAGAACTCTAGCCAGGTAAAGATCTTTAATTGTTAAAGTTCTTCTGTATTGGAACCAAGTTGATCCCAGAATCCAGTGAGTTTGAGTGGTTTCAGGTATGAAAATTGGAGTTTGAAGACAGGGAAACATACTAGTCATCAACCCACCAATATATAAATGTAACTTTGCATGAATTATTCTAAGATAGCTTTTTTTGTTGTTAATAGGGGCAGTTAAAAGAAAAATACCTAAAAAAAGGTTTTCTCAATGGAAACTTGCTAGAGGTCCAAAATCTCTTTTCTCTTTTCTTTAGTTTTGCTCAGCATTTAAAATTCATTTTTAAACTTATTGTTTTCCGTTTCTGCATTTTCTTTTTTATCTTTGTATAGTCTGGTAAACAGAGTCTGTCCTTAGTCTCTCTTTCCCATTGTTTGCCTTAGTAACTACTAAAAAGGAAGAATTATTGAGGTATAATTCGCACTTTTAAGTAAATTCACCCATTTTTAGTGTACAATTTTATGAGTTCTCAAGAATGCATACAGTTATGTAACAGCCACTAACATCAAGGTATGGACCAACTCCATTTCCAAATGTTCTCATGCTATTTCTTTCCCCTACCTCCAGCCCCTGGCAACCACTGATCTGCTATGGTTCCCTTTTGTTTTACCTTTTCCAGAATGAGACATATAAATGAAATCATACAGTATATAGATTTTGAAACTGGCTTCTTTCCCTTACCAAATTCATTTTAGATCTATTCATGTTGTGTAGAGCATGAGTGAGTTCTTTTTTTATTGCTGAATAGTATTCCATTGTATGAATATGACATCATTTGATTATTTATGCATGGGTGAATCATATTTTTGCTGTATCCAGTTTCTGGATATTTTGAACAAAAACACTGTAAATATTCACTAAGTGACTACTTTTTAAATTAGAACAGCTTAAAAGTCAGGCAGTGTGACAATGTGGATACAAGTCAAGTGGGAAGACACCTAGACCTGGATCTCATACTAGTTTTGTATCAGCTAGCTGTGATTTCAATAATTTAACTTCTCTATGTCTGTTTCTATTGTGAAATGTGCATCATTCAGGGCTTATTCTAGTTTTGAAATAGTATGGTTCTGTGCTGTTAAGACATTTACTATCGTCTAAGAGGAGACACTATAAATGGTTACATATATTTTATAAAACTAATTATATGAAATCAACACAACTAATATTTAACCTTAGGAGTCATTTTGTCTCTTTAAGTTCAATCATAAGTAGTTTGAATATAATATGATTTGCTTAATGAATTTTACAGGACCTTACAACCTCAAACTTTTTATTAACTGTATAATCCAACTGATTTTATGTTGGAAAATTATTTTGATAATAATCCTTTTTTTTTTTTTTTTGAGATGGAGTTTCGCTCTTGTTACTCAGGCTGGAGTGCAATGGCGCGATCTCGGCTCACCTCAACCTCCTCCTCCTGGGTTCAGGCAATTCTCCTGCCTCAGCCTCCTGAGTAGCTGGGATTATAGGCACGCGCCACCATGCCCAGCTAATTTTTTGTATCTTTAGTAGAGACGGGGTTTCACCATGTTGACCAGGATGGTCTCGATATCTTGACCTCGTGATCCACCCGCCTCGGCCTCCCAAAGTGCTGGGATTACAGGCTTGGGCCACCGCGCCCGGCCTAATAATACTTTTTTTTAGACAGTCTTGCTTTGTCACCCAGGCTGGAGTGTAGTGGTCAGTCTCCACTCAAGGTAACCTCAACCCCCTGGGTTCAAGCAGTCCTCCCGCCTCAGCCTTCTGAGTAGCTGGAACTACAGGTGCATGCCAGCACACGCAGCTAATTTTTTTGTACTTTTTTTTTTTTTTTTCATAGAGACAGGGTTTCACCATGTTGGCCAGGCTGGTCTTGAACTCCTGGGCTCAAGCAATCCACCTATGTCAGCCTCCCAAATTGCTGGGATTTCAGCCATGAGCTATTGCACGCAGCTAATAATACTCTTAAATATTTGATAAATATTTTATTTTACAATATTTTAGTCTTTATTATTAATTGACATTTATTTATTTTTTAACTTAGATGGGTCTAGGAAAGACAATCCAGGCAATTGCAGTTGCTTACTTCTATAAAGAGGAATGGCCTCTGTTAATAGTGGTCCCCTCGTCTCTGAGGTACCCTTGGACAGAAGAAATCGAGAAATGGATCCCAGAGCTAAGTCCAGAAGAAATCAATGTTATTCAGAATAAAACTGATGTTAGGTAAGAACAATTTTTTAATCTTTAAGAAAACAAGTCTTCCTTGTATGCACCTGGTATATATTCATGTTTTAGAATGCAATATCACCTATAGATCGTAACTGAGAAGTAAGTGGAGTAAGTAGTATGGAGAATTTATTTTATATTTTAAAATAGGAGTCATCTAAAACCCAACAGTATATTTTATTTCCAAGTTTCTTTATGGTGTATTTTTAAAGTAAATATAAAATATGTATACTTTTAAAGATATATGTAATATATCTATTTTATAGGTGCCTTAAATATATTTGAAACTATCTTAAGGTTCAAGAATAAATCTCACAAATTTTCATTGATTAACTTGAAGCTTTGTGATCTTTTATTATCAGCAACTATAGTAGATTTTGCTTTCCAATTTGTTAATTAATTTATAAGTTTTGTGTATAAACTAGTTTGATTTTCCTTATTATAATTTTAATATTTTCTATGTTGAAAGTATTTGCCTTGTGTTTATTTGAAACTCTCACTCTAAAAATATGTTACAGTATATTTTTTTCCCTCATTTTGCTTTCTAGCCGTTAGAATAAGACAATCAATTTGAATATTGATAAGTTTTTTTTGTTTTTTTTATTGAGACGGAGTTTCGCTCTTGTTACCCAGGCTTGAGTGCAGTTTCGCTCTTGTTACCCAGGCTGGAGTGCAATGGCATGATCTCGGCTCACCGCAACCTCCGCCTCCTGGGTTCAGGCAATTCTCCTGCCTCAGCCTCCTGAGTAGCTGGGATTACAGGCACGTGTCAGCATGCCCAGCTAATTTTTTGTATTTTTAGTAGAAACGGGGTTTCACCATGTTGACCAGGATGGTCTCGATCTCTTGACCTTGTGATCCACCCGCCTCAGCCTCCCAAAGTGCTGGGATTACAGGCTTGAGCCACCGCGCCCGGCCTAATACTTAGATTTTTAAATTTTGGTATTATTGTACTGTATTGTATTCTCTGAAACTGTTAACATAAAAGGTATACGTAAAAATAAAGCTGTCTTATGAATGTGGAAGGAAAAACAAAATGTATGGAGGGCCTTATCACTTTCAACCTTGAAATGCTGATTCAGTGGAATATGTCTTTATGAGCCCAAGAAAATCTACACTATTTACATGGTTAAAATAGAAAAACTTCTGTGTTATCCTAATCATTATAAATAAAGTTCCTCTCCAATAACTGCATAAAATTAAATAGACAAATTTGGAGAATGTAGATTTTTTTTTGGTGGGGCGCTATTATAAATGGTATTCTTTTTTTTATTGTACTTTTAGGTTTGGGGTACATGTGCAGGTCATGCACGATTGTTGCATAGGTACATACATGGCAAGGTGGTTTGCTGCCTTCATCCCCCCCATCACCTATATCTGGTATTTCTGCCCACGTTATCCCTTCCCACCTACCCACCCCCCGCTGTCCCTCCCCTAGTCCCCCAACAACTGACCTCAGTGTGTGAGGCTCCCCTCTCTGTGTCCATGTGTTCTCATTGTTCAATACCTGCCTATGAGTGAGAACATGTGGTGTTTGGTTTTCTGGTCTTGTGTCAGTTTGCTGAGAATGATGGTTTCCGGATTCATCCATGTCCCTATGAAGGACACGAACTCATTGATTTTTATGGCTGCGTAGTATTCCATGGTATATATGTGCCAGATTTTCTTTATCCAGTCTATCATTGATGGACATTTGGGTTGGTTCCAAGTCTTTGCTATTGTAAATATTGCTGCAGTGAACATACATGTGCATGTGTCTTTATAATAGAGCAATTTATAATTCTTTGGATATATACCCAGTAATGGGATTTCTGAGTCAAATGATATTTATATTTCTAGGTCCTTGAGGAATTGCCACACTGTCTTTCACAATGGTTGCACTAATTTACACTCCCACCAAGAGTGTAAAAGTGTTCCTATTTCTCCACATCCTCTCCAGAATCTGTTGTCTCCTGATTTTTTAATGAGAATGTAGAATTTTTTAAGGCCCCCATAACCATCATCTGTTAGATATACCTTAATTTATTTTATTTAATTAATTTCTTTTTTTTTTTTTTTTTGGAGACAGAGTCTCACTCTGTCACACAGGCCGGAGTGCAGTGGCACCATGTAAGCTCACTGCAATCTCTGCCTCCTGCGTTCAAGGGATTCTCCTACTTCAACTTCCCTAATAGCTGGGATTACATGCACTACCACCTGTAGTAGTATGTAATTGGTCAGGCTGGTCTCAAACTCCTGACCCCAGGTGATCCACTCATCTCAACCTCCCCAAGTTCTGGGATTACAGGCATGAGCCACCACACCTGGCTGATATACCCTATTTAAATGTTTACATTAAAAAAAAAAGAAAAAGAAAAAAATTAAATGTTTACATTTAAATTTTCTTAAAATGACTATTCTATCATCTTTTTTTCTATTTTTTTTTTTTTTTTTTTTGAGACGGAGTCTCGCTTTCTTGCTAGGCTGGAGTGCAGTGGTGCAGTCTCGGCTTACTGCAGCCTCCACCTCCCAGGTTCAAGCAATTCTTTCGCCTTAGCCTCTTGAGTAGCTGAGGTTGCAGACACGTGCCATGACGCCCAACTAATGGTTTTTGTATTTTTAGTAGAGATGGGGTTCACCATGTTTTCCAGGATGGTCTCAATCTCTTGACCTTGTAATCCGCCTGCCTCGGCCTCCCAAAGTGCTGGCATTACAGGCGTGAGCCATGGCGTCCGGCCTCTATCATCTTTTATAGCACTAGGGCATCTAGTTTTTATATTGTTTTGAAAATACACTTTTCAGCCTGACCAACATGGAGGAACCCTGTCTTTACTAAAAATACAAAATTAGTCGGGAGTGGTGGAGTATGCCTGTAATTCCAGCTACTTGGGAGGCCGAGGGAGAGAATTGCTTGAACCCCAGAGGCAGAGTTTGCAGTGAGCTGAGATCACGCCATTGCACTTTAGCCTAGGCAACCAAGAGTGAAACTCTGTCTCAAAACAAACAAACAAAAAACGCCTGGCGGGGTGGCTCACACCTGTAATCCTGGCACTTTGGAAGGCTGAGATGGGCGGATCACGAGGTCAAGAGATCGAGACCATCCTGACCAACATGGTGAAACCGCATCTCTACTAAAAAAAAAAAAAGTACAAAAATTATCCGGGCATGGTGGTGTGCACTTGTAGTCCCAGATACTCCAGAGGCTGAGGCAGCAGAGGTTCCAGTGAACTGACATTGCACCACTGCACTCCAGCCTGCTGTCAGAGCGAGACACCATCTCAAAAAAGAAAATGCACTTGTGCAGTTAAATGGTGGATAATATTTTTATTTGAATAGTGTTTGGGATATATTAGATAGGACTACAACCCCAAAGTATGTTTCTTGGATGATGTTAGTTAATGACAGAAAAGTTATATAATGTCTTCCAGGTACTTAAAGAAGGAGTTTTAGGTATATACTACTGTCTCTACCACAAATACATATACTTTCCTTCTGGCTTATATCAGTTATTCCTGGACTGTTCACTAGTCAAGATATCATAGGACAGAAGCTACAGACTGCTTGCTACAGTGGCCTTTGAAGCCATTGTCTCCTATATGTTTCTCTCAGTATACCTAAGTTAGTAATTAATGTTAACCCTGTACTTTTCTTCTTCAGGCTCTTCTGGTGTTTGAATACAGTGAGAAAATCATAGGTCTCTCTATTAAGTAGATTTATTCAGGGCTTATAATGCAATTGCCATAGTAGCTCTGGCTGCTTAGGAGCTCTACCTTTTCTGTGAGAGGATAGAGAATTGCAGAAGACTGGCTCGGTACTGTATTATTGTTTTTTTTGTTTGTGATATAGAAAATGCAAAAGTGATATGTCTTAGTATTAATGAATTTGTCTATTTCATTTTACAAACTTTCTTTGGGATCATAGCACTGTGTATACAAAGATGAATAAGACACGTTCCCTGCCCTTACCAGTATCATGAGGTGGTAAGGGACATAAAAATATGTAAATAAATCATTTAATGACAGTAAGATAAAGAATATTACAGATGTATGTATTATAGAGATCTAAAGATCAGAGATCATTTTAGCTTAGTGGTTCTCAATATGAGGTGGTACCTGCCTCTTCTAACCACACTTCATACTTCATTACCTCAGGTCCAGGAAACTTTGTTGTCACAGTGACTAGGACTCCACTGGTCTTTAATGGGGAGGACTAGGAGGTGAAGCTCTGCAGTGCAGTGAACAGCCCTGTACGTCTGTTCTGCTACTTGTGTTTTGAGCAGGAGGGGCTATTCAGTGCATTGCAGAGCTTCACTTAGTCCTGTTCCAAATGCCAGTAGCATCTGGATTGAAAAACTCCTATTTGTGTGAAGGTTTCATTGAAGAGTCAACTAATATTTAAGTATCCATTTTATGCACGATCCTAGGTGCATAGAAGCAGATATTGTCAGAAAGTAATGTGGCTTGCTGGATGTCAAAATCTTTCAAAGATCATTTGACTAAAATTTTGGTCTTGGTTAACCAAAACTGTAAATTTTGGATCCTGGTTTATTATATTTAAGAACTGTAAAATCTTAAGAGAAATCTTAAGAGTTTCAGTAGTAATACCATCTCCTTTTATTTTTCCTCTATTCTTCTTTCTTTTCTATATTTTTTCCCAAGAGAGCTGTATTGTTTATAATAATGTTACTGTGATTTTTTTAAGTATACGTATTTTCTTTTCTAGGAGAATATCGACCAGTAAAGTGACAGTTCTGGGTTATGGTCTCTTAACCACAGATGCAGAGACCTTGATAGATGCACTGAATAATCAGAAGTTCAAAGTAGTTATAGTGGATGAATCACACTACATGAAATCCAGAAATGCAACTCGCAGCAAGATTTTATTGCCAGTAGTACAGAAAGCCAGACGAGCCATTCTTCTTACAGGAACACCAGCTTTAGGAAGGCCTGAAGAGGTATGACAGTCCTTATACTTTGAACTTAAAAGAAGAGAAGGGAGGCGGGGGGATATTACTGACCTGTTTTGCAATTTTTAATTTCAAATTAGATGCCTTAACTGCTAGAGGAGTACATTGGGAATTTCTAGATAGTACGTATGTTTTATTATGGCTATTTTAAATCTATTTACATTTAAACCTTAGCCAAGCTTGTAGGTATGTATAAAAAATAGCTTTTGCCTATATTATAAGGCTTCCATATTTAGTACAACTTTCTAATATTCTTCACAATGTGTTCCTGAGGTTCTTCTGTTATCTTAATCTTCATTTATTTTGTCTATTTTACATTATAAGCTTCTTAGGATTGGGATTGAATCTACCTTATTTCTTTTATACCACATTGCAGAACTTCTGTCTTTTCTTTCACTTAAGGATTCACATTTGGGAAAGTAAAGAGAAACTAAAGCTTATGTGCAGACCTAAGCTTTAGTTTCTCTTTACTTTCCCAAATGTGAATCCTTAAGTGAAAGAAAAGACAGGTTAGAATGAAAGAATAAGGCAGGCACTGGATACCCCATTTAGCTTTTGCTATTCTAAGAGGTGAATAGTACATGGAGTGGTTAAAGGGTTAGGAAGAAGTCATGATAGAAGAAACGTGGGTAAGGTTTAGTGTTCCTTAAGGAATCCCTGCTTACTAATGAACACTAAATCATAGAAAAATCATGGATTGACTTGTAGGGTTTCTGGGAGAATTAAAGGTAGTACTGCTTTGAAAGTACCTCACTATGTGCCTTGTAACACTCAACATATGGTAGCCAATATTATATTAATTTTTGAGCCAAGCCTGGGTGACAGCTATTAATGATCATTACCTGTCTAACAGTATTACCTAAGCTCTGCTTTTCAATTCTGTCCTGGAAATCTTGTGAGATACTTATAATAGTACATAGACAGTGATGATAAAATTCGTAATTTTACCTTATTACAGTTTTTACTCTTGGATACCAACTGACAGTGGGGAAGAGTAGCCCCAAGTAATTTATATATATCCCAAAATTATGTCATTGAATGATAGGGTGATTATATTCTTTTTGGGGGTGGGGACAGAGTTTCCCTCTTGTCCAGGCTGGAGTGCAATAGCACAATCTCAGCTCACCTCAACCTCCACCTCCCAGGTTCAAGCGATTCTCTTGCCTTAGCCTCCCGAGTTAGCTGAGATTACAGCCTTGCGCCACCATGACCGGCTAATTCTTTATTTTTAGTAGAGACGGGGTTTCTCCATGTTGGTTAGGCTGGACTCAAACTTGCAACCTCGGGTGATCCACCTGCCTCAGCCTCCCAAAGTGCTGAGATTACAGGCATGAGCCACTGTGCCCAGCCCTGATTATATCCTTTAAAAAGATATCATAAAATGTATTCTTCAAGCTAGTATTCTGGACCTAGTAGCTCACCCCGGTAATCGCAGCACTTTGGGAAGCCGAGGTGACCAGATCACTTGAGGCTGGGAGTTCAAGACCAGCCTGGCCAACATAGTGAAACCCATCTCTACTAAAAATACAAAAATTAGCTGGGCATGGTGACCAGTGCCTGCAGTTCCAGCTACTCGGGAGGCAGGAGAATCACTGGAACCCGGGAGGCAGAGGTTGCAGTGAGCCAAGATCTTGCTATTGCACTCCAGCCTGAGCCACAGAGTGAGACTCTGTGAAAGAAAGCAAGAAAGCACGGGGGAAGGAGGGAGGAAGGAAGGAAGGTAGGGAGGGAGGGAGGAATGGAGGGAGGGAGGGAGGAAGGAAGGAAGGTAGGAAAGGCAGGCAGGCAGGCAAAAGATACATACATTTCGAATGATAATAATACAGTGAATACTCATCTGCTTATTATCAAGCATAAGAAATAGAACATTGACAATACAACAGTGGCTTTTATAGCCCACTCTTACCACTTTAGTACTTTTCACCCCTCACCTATGGTAGCCACTATTCATTGCAAGGGTAAATCCCAATTTTATGGGTCCTGATGATTGTACAATTTGTGTTTGGGATTTTTTGTTTTTTATTTATTTGTTTATTTTATTATTTTTTTTTATAATGCAGCCCCAGCTGTTGCAGTGTTTGGGATTTTTTTTTTTTTTTTTTTAGACGGAGTTTCGCTCTTGTTACCCAGGCTGGAGTGCAATGGCACGATCTCGGCTCACTGCAACCTCCGCCTCCTGGGTTCAGACAATTCTCCTGCCTCAGCCTCCTGAGTAGCTGGGATTACAGGCACACGCCACCATGCCCAGCTAATTTTTTGTATTTTAGTAGAGACCGGGTTTCACCATGTTGACCAGGTTGGTCTCGATCTCTCGACCTCATGATCCACCCGCCTCGACCTCCCAAAGTGCTGGGATTACAGGCTTGAGCCACCGTGCCCGGCCCCCTGTTTGGGATTTTTTTAAGAAAAAAATATAAAATTCCAAATTCTAAGTTAGGAATTTTGAAATAAGGAAGTGTGAGTTCTCTAATTTTGTTTTCTTTCTTTTTTTTTTTTTGAGTCAGAGTCTCCTTCTGTTGCCCAGGCTAGAGTGCAATGGCACAATCTCAGCTCACTGCAACCTCCACCTGCCAGGTCCAAACAATTTTCCTCCTTCAACCTCCCTTGTAGCTGGGATTACAAGTGTGTGCCACCATGCCCAGCTAATTGTTGTATTTTTAGTAGAGATGGGGTTTTCCATGTTGGCTAGGTTCATCTTGAACTCCTGACCTCAGGTGATCTGCCCACCTTGGCCTCCCAAAGTGCTGTGATTACAGGGGTGAGCCACCCCGCCTGGCCTTATTTTGTTTTCTTACCTATTTGCCCTAGAACTGTAGTGACAATGTTGAATTGGAAAGGCAAGAATGGGCATCCTTTTTTTGTGCTTCATCTTAGTGGGAAAGCATTCAGCCTTTCACCTTTATTATAATGTTACTTGTGGGGTTTTCCTAGATTTTCTTTATCAGATTGAGGAAGTTCCTTTCTATTTTTGGTTTATGGATTGCTTAATCATGAAGAGATGTGGAATATCATCCCATGCTTTTTCTGCATCTATGGGGATATTCATGTGTTTTTTTATCCTTTATTCGGTTGATACAGTATATTACATTAATTGATTTTGAAATGTTAACGCTGCATTTCTGCAATAAGTCTCACTTGGTCATGGTATATAATCTTTTATACATGTTGTTTGCTGGATTGAGTTTGCTAATTAATATTATGTTGATGATTATTATTTCTATAATCATAAGAGATATTGGCCTATAGTTTTCTTTTCTCATGATGTATTTGTCTGGTTTGGGCATCAAGTTAAGACTGGCCTCATATAATGACTTGGAAAGTGTTCCTTTCTTTGGAAGGGTCTGTGAAACATTAACATTACTTTAAAAAAGAAAGTTTGCTAGAATTCAGTGGTGAAGCTATGTTGGCCTGGGCTTTTCTTTGTGGGTAGTTTTTTGATTATGGTAGTCTCTCCTTATCCACAGTTTCACTTTCCATAGTTTCAGTTACCCTGGTCAACTATAGTCTAAAAATAGCTGAGTATAGAATGATAAGACATTTTGAGAGAGAGAGAGAGACCACATTCATATGACTTTTGTTATAATATATTTTTATGATAGTTGTATTTTATTATCCATTGTTATTAATATCTTTCTGTGCCTAATTTGTAAATTAAATTAAACTTTATAATAGGTATGTATATATAGTATGAGTAAAAGCATACTATATATAGGGTTGGGTACTATCTGTGGTTTCAGGCACCACTGGGGGTCTTTGGTACATGTCCCCTGTGGATAAGGGGGTACTACTCTACTAATTCAGTCTCTTCACTGAGTACATATCTATTCAAACTGTTTTTTTTTTTTCTTGAGTCAGTTTTAGTACTTTGCGTCTTTCTAGGAATTTGATCATTTCATCTGAGTTATCTAATTTATTGGCAAACAGCTGTTCATAGTATTCCCTTATTATTATTTGTGTTTCTGTGAAGTGGTTGTATTGTCCCCTCTTTCTTTCCTGATTTGAGTAATTTGAGTCTTTGAGTCTTCTCTTTTGTTTTCTTAGTCTAGCTAAAGTTTTATCAATAATGTTGATTTTTCTGGGAACCAATTTTTGGTTTCATTGATTTACTCTATTGTTTTTGTTTTCTATTTCATTTGTTTCCATTCTATCTTTTTTTGAGATGGAGTCTTGCTCTGTCATCCAGGCTGGAGTGCAGTGTCATGATCTTGGCTCACAGTAATCTCCACCTCTCAGGTTCAAGCAGTTCTCCTGCCACAGCCTCCCCAGTAGATGGGATTACAGGCATTTGCCATCATGCTCATCACATTTTTGTATTTTTGGTAGAGACAGGATTTCACCATGTTGGCCAGGCTGGTCTGGAACTCCTGGCCTCAAGTGATTCGCCCATCTTTGCCTCCCAAAGTGCTGGAATTACAGATTTGAGCCACTCCTGCTGGCCTATTTCCACTCTAATCTTTATTGTGACCTTCTATTTGCTGTGGGTTGTTTGCTGTTTTTCATTGTGTTAAGGTGGAAAATTAGGGTATTGATTTGAGTTATTCTTGTTTAACATAGGAATATGCACCTATTAATTTCCTTCTAAGCACTATTTTTGCTGCAACTCGTGTTTTGGTATGTTGTGTTCTCAATTTTCCTTATCTCAAAGTGTTTTCTAATTTCCTTTGTGATTTCTTCTTTGGCCCATTGGTTATTTCTGAATATGTTGTCATATTAAATGGATATAAAACACTGAAGTCACTTTAGAGAAATGTAAGTTACTTAAAACGTTACTGTATGACCCAACAATTTCATTCTTAGGTATATACCCAAGAGAACTAAAAACAAATTCTCACCAAAAATTACATACTCATGTGCTGGGTTACATAGTAGCATTATTCATGATATTTCAAAAAGTGGAAACAAGCAAAATGTTCATCAGTTGATGAATATATAAACAAATATGGTATAGCCATACAATGGAATATTATTTGGCCATAAAGAGGAATGAAATACTATACATGCTACAATGTGAATTAACTTATAAAGCAGTATTCTAGGTGAAATAATCCAGATACAAAAGGCTACATAGTATATGAGTCTATTTATATGAAATGCCAAGAATAGGCAAATTCATAGAGACAGAAAGTGGATTAGTAGTTGGCCAAGATCAGAAGAAAGGAGAATTAGTAGTGACTACTAATGGGAATGGACCTTTTTTGGGGGAGTGATAAAAATATTACAGAATTAGATAGTAATGACTGGTATACAACTGTGAATCTGGGTATGGAGCTTTTTTGGGGGTTGATTAAAATATTACAGAATTAGATAATGTTTTGATGCACAACTACGTGAATCTATTGAAAGCCACTCTTTTTTAAAAGTTTGGTATATGAACTCTATATCACAATAAAACTGTTGGTTTTTAAAAGTATATTAAAATAACAATGAGACAGTACTATCAGAGTTGTAATAAATGAGAGGATTTCATGATACTATTGATGGGAGTGTAAATTGGGACAATCTTCTTACTGGGCAACATGGTAACATTATCAAACTTTTAAAAAGCATATACCTTAAAAATCAACTATTCCATTTCTAAATATACATCCTACATCACCTCTAATAGAAATACAAATGGATGGATGGATAGATAGATGATTAATAGATAAAGATATAAATATATATACTACACCCATATATTCACATATATATATACACACAATTATATGAAGTTATTAATATTAGTAACTGCCTAAAAGCTAGAAATAGCCTATATGTCCAATATCAGGAGTCTGTTTAAATATTTTACAATACATCTACATAATAATAATGGGTAGCTATTTAGTTTTTAAATAGTGCATTATTATTATATTGCTTGTATAGGTATTTAAAACTAAAAATAGATACATCTGTACTTAAAAAGTGTCTGAGACATGTGTTATGGGACAAAATTCTAGTTGTATGACAATATGTATTATTCCTCAGTTTGCTTTCTTCATCTAGTGTATATGTGTATAAAAGCATAAACATATGCTTAAATCAGCATAGAAAAATGTATAAATGGGCCAGGCTTACGCCTGTAATTCCAGCCCTTTGGGAGGCCAAGGTGGGTGCATCACGAGTTCAGGAGTTTGAGACCAGCATGATCAACATAGTGAAATCATGTCCCTTCTAAAAATACAAAAATTAGTCGGGCATGGTGTTGCATGCCTATAGTCCCAGCTACTTGGGAGGCTGAGGCAGGAGAATCACTTGAACCTGGGAGGCGGAGGTTGCAGTGAGCCAAGATCAGGCCACTGCATTCCAGTGTGGCATCAGAGTGAGATGCCATCTCAACAAAAAAAAAAAAAAAAAAGGAAAAGGAAAAAGAAAAATATGTAAATTATATTTATAAAACAGACAATGGTTATCCCTGATAAATAGAAGGGAGGGGACTTGAGGAATAAAGAGTTGGATTTTGTTTTATACTTCCTACTATTTTGTTAAATGGTTTTATTATTATAATAACAATTTACTTGAAAATATTACAACATATTAAAAACACATCTGTTATTATAGCTTTTCATGCAGATTGAAGCTCTCTTTCCACAAAAATTTGGAAGTTGGACTGACTATGCAAAAAGATATTGTAATGCACACATCAGGTAAGACAAACTATTTTCCATAAACTTGTTCCTCACATATTAACTGTGAACATTGCTTTATTAGTCATTCTTTATCCCACTGTTTTACAATTAGTGGTAGCTATGAAATAATTGGTGGATTATTATACATGTAGATGGATGACCTATATGTAAAATAAATAAAAGTAATAGATAATGGCAAAGTTTACCTTTATTCTTATTTTTTACTTTCTACTTTTTATTGTTGAAATTATTTATTTTTATTGGCTAGATTTACATGTATGTTATACAAAAGTAAAAAGTAAGGTGTTTGTTCTACTCTTGTCTCTCAGCAAACCATTTCCCTTCCCATGTAACCAGTGTTGGCACTTTCTTTTGTATCCTTTTGAAAATACCCTTTGGGTGAACAAGGATGTATGATTATATGTATATAATATTTCATTTTATTTCAACATATATAGCACAATTTGTGCATTATTCTGCAGTTCATTTTCTTCATCTAGTATATATTGTAGATCTTTCTTTATCAGTTAAGAGCTTTGATACTCATTTTATTTTATTTTCTCTTATTTTTTTGAGACAGAGTCTTGCTCCGTTGCTCAGGCTGAATGTAGTGCAGTGGCTCAATCTTGGCTCACTGCAACCTCTGCCTCCTGTGTTCCAGCAATTTTCCTGCCTCAGCCTCCCAAGTAGCTGGGATTACAGGCATGTACCACCATACCCGGCTAATTTTTGTGATTTTTACTGGAGACAAGATTTGACCATGTTGGCCAGGCTGGTCTCGAGCTCCTGACCTCAGGTGATCCACCTGCCTCAGCCTCCCAAAGTTCTGAGATTACAGGCATGAGCCACCACTCCCAGTCTGATACTCATTTTAAAGGCTCCATGTATTCTACCATTTAGATTTTATTTATGCAATTTACTTTCTTTTTTTTTTTTCTGAGACAGAGTTTCACTCTTGTTACCCAGGCTGGAGTACAATGGGGCGATCTCGGCTTACCGCAACCTCCGCCTCCTGGGTTCAGGCAATTCTCCTGCCTCAGCCTCCTGAGTAGCTGGGATTACAGGCACACGCCACCATGCCCAACTAATTTTTTTGTATTTTTAGTAGAGATGGGGTTTCACCATGTTGACCAGGATGGTCTCAATCTCTTGACCTCATGATCCACCCGCCTCGGCCTCCCAAAGTGCTGGGATTACAGGCGTGAGCCACCGCGCCCAGGCTGCAATTCACTCTTAGTGGACATTTGTAGTATATAGCTATGCATGCAATACAGCAATGAGTATCCTTGCGCATGTAGAGAGGTAGTATTTTATAGTTGTCAAGAGCATGGAAATTTAGAGCTGGACCACCTGTGATTTATTTTCACACCTACCACTTACCAAATGCTTCATTTTAGAAAAGTAACTATCTCCCCATACCTCAGTTTCTTCAGCTCAAAAAAATGGCAAATTATTATGCCTGCCTTGGAGAGTTTTTATGAAATGTATATTAACTAATATTTATGAAGTGCTTGAACAGTAACCATACATAGGGAGTACTCAATAATTGTTAGCTATTTTAGTATTTCATGCCATATGCATAGGGGCAAAAATCTAAGATAAAGTTGCAGAAGTGACATTGCTAATTTAAAGGGCATGTGCATTTTTATATTATTAGATTTTTCCAAATCATGCTCCATAGAAAGTACAGCTTTTTATATTCCCACCAGCTGTGTGTCAGATTGTTTCTTTTTCCATACCTTTCCAACATAGTGAAATATAACTTATTTCATTCTTGCCAATGTAAACTGATAGTAGCTTTAATTCACATTATTCACATTTAATTCACAAATTCACATTTGCCCATTATGTCATTAAATGCATTTGAGCATTTTTTTCACACATATGAGTTATTTGTACTTTTTTTCTGTCAATTGTCTGTGTGTGCTATTTGTCCTTCTGTCTACTAAATGTATTGACTTTTTTCTTGGTATATTGAAAACCTTTATATATTACAAAAATATCTCTTTGTATTACAAAAAGTCTCTCATTTTTTTTATTTCCCAATGCATTCTTTTTAATAATTCCTTTAAATAAAACCACACGGTCATGGTTTTCTGATGCTTTTTAAAGGGCTCCAGAGTATAAAGATAGAAAGACTTACTCTAAGTTGTTTCTGTGAAGTCAATCTAACACTGATACCAAAATCAGACAAGATAGCACAAAAAATGAAAACAAGAGACTATAAATGCAGAAATTCTCAATATTAATAGATTAATGGACTCTAGAAATTCATTAAAACCCTAATGTATTGATTATATGCAGATGGCATTCACATTAGGAATTCAAGGAATGTTTAATATTAAGAAATACATCAATGTAATTTGCCATGTTAATAATGACAAAGAGAAACTGCATCATCTCTATATGTACTGGGAAGTCCTTAGGTAAAATATAACATTTACCACTCTCTCACTTTTTTTTTTTGAGATGGAGTCTCATTCTGTTGCCTAGACTGGAGTGCAGTGACACAATAATGGCTCACTGCAACTTCTGCCTCCCAGGTTCAAGCAGCTCTACTGCCTCAGCCTCAGAGTAGCTGGTACCACAGGCATGCGCCACCATGCCCTGCTAATGTGTGTGTGTGTGTGTGTGTGTGTGTGTGTGTTTAGTATAGGTAGGGTGTGTGTGTGTGTTTAGTATAGATAGGGTTTTACCACGTTGGCCAGGCTGGTCTCGAACTTCTGACTTCAGATGATCCACCTGCCTTGGCTGCCCAAAGTGCTGGGATTACAGCCATGAGCCACCATGCCTGGCCAACATTTACCCTTGATTACAGTGTTTAATAAATTTAGGGTATGTATGTGTATGTGTGGTTTTACATATGTATGTTTATATATGTTAGTGTGTGTCTTTCAATTCCAAAACAATTACCACAGCTTACCTTTACTCTGGAGGACTGATCAATTAAGTTACTCAAAGGAAAAATAAGGGCCGGGTGTGGTGGTCACACCTATAATCCCAGCACTTTCGGAGTCCAAGGTGGGTGGATCATGAGGTCAAGAGATCAAGACCATCCTGGTCAACAAGGTGAAACCCCGTCTCTACTAAAAATACAAAAATTAGCTGGGCATGATGGTGTGCGCCTTTAGTCCCAGCTACTCGGAAGGCTGAGGCAGGAGAATTGCTTGAACCCAGGAGGCGGAGGTTGTGGTGAGCCGAGACCCGCGCCATTGCACTCCAGTCTGGGTAACAAGAGCAAAACTCCGTCTCAAAAAAAAAAAAAAAAGGAAAGAAAAGAAAAATAAGAGGATATGAGGCTAATTTCATCAGGAAAAATTTTTTTTAATTAAAAAAAGAAAAGAAAAAAAAGGGCAGGCACAGTGACTCACACCTGTAATCCCAGCAGTTCGTGAGGCTGAGATAAGAGGGTCACTTGAGCCTAGGAGTTTGAAAGCAGCCTGGTAAACATAGTGAGACCCCATCTCTATTAAAAGTGATCAAAGTTTTCAGGAAAAACAAAATTATCATTTTCTACAGCTGATGTTATTTATTTGGAAGACTGAGAATCAGCTGGAAAGTGTTCAAAACAAAATGGAATAGATTAAAATAGCCTAGCACAAAGTTAATATTAAAAAGTCAGTTGTCTTTCTCTACATAAATAATAAATAGTTCTAAAATACAGTGAAAATAAAAGATAGTAGAAAACTCGAGAATATTAGTGAAGGACATTTAAAAAGAAAGACATGCTCCTATTTGATGAAAAGACTTGATAGTATAAAGATTTTACTTTTTTCTGAATTTATTCATAGATATAGTTATACAATAAAAGACAATTTTTCTTGTAGATCCAGAAAATTGATTCTAAATATTATTTAGAAAAATAAGAAACAATTGTCAAGAAAGTTATGAAAAATTAGAGTATTAAAAAAAGGAGGCTGGGCACAGTGGCTCACGCCTGTAATCCTAGCACTTTGGGAGGCCAAGGTAGGTGGATCACCTGAGGTCAGGAATTTGAGACCAGCCTGGCCATCATGGTAAAACCCCCTCTCTACTAAAAATACAAAAATTCGCTGGGCGTGGTGTCGAGCACCTGTAATCCCAGCTACAGGAGAATCACTTGAACCCAGGAGACAGAAGTTACAGTGAGCTGAAATTGCACCATTGCGCTCTAACCTGGGCAACAAGAGCAAGACCGTCTTTAAAAACAAGGGGGGCGGGTAAGGATTTCTTTCCCCTGTTTTTACACAAAAATTAATTTCAGATGAATAAAATATTTAAAGATTATTAAATAAAATCCTAAGTAAAACATAGAGGATTTCTTTTATAACTTTGTTGTAGGGAAGTCATAAAAAAGAATATATTCAATTGCATAAGAATTTGAAAGTTGTCATCCTTCTAGAAAATATATCTTAAGTAAAAAGAAATTTCCAATTAAGGAAAAATTATGTGTTGCAAATTAAAGAGAAGGCTAATTTCAATGACTGAGAAAAATGTGCAAAAAATGTTAACAAATAACTGATAGTATAAAGGAATACAAATAGGTTTTAACTATATAAATCTAATCAATAAGAGAAATTCAATTGAAACTACAATAAGACAAATTTTTACCTATTATAGTTATAAAAATTATAACATTTAACAAAACAGTATATCGATGAGCATATAAACAAACAGGAACTGTCTTACATGCTGAAAGAAATGTAATGGCTATACCATCTACTATGGGGTTTTTTTGAGCCAGTGTCTTGCTTTGTTACCCAGGTTAGAGTGCAGTGGCACGATCATGGCTCACTGCAGCCTTAACTGCCTTGGCTCAAGTGATTCTCCCACCCCAGTCTCCCTAGTAGCTGTTAAAATGAGCATGCACCACCGTGTGTGACTAATTTTTTGTTTTTGTTTTTTTAAAAAACGGTTTCTTGCTTTGTCACTCAGGCTGGAATGCAGTGGTGCGATCTCAGCTCACTGCAACGTCTGCCTCCCAGGTTCAAGAGATTCTCCTGCCTCAGCTTCCCAAGTGGCTGGGATTATAGGCATGT